CGCCCGCCCGCCGAGAGCCCAGGCCCGCAGCCCTCTCCTCACCTGAACGTAGTCAGGGAGAAGCTGTAGCCGCGCTCCGCCATTTTGGAGTCAAAACCCCTCCGCTCCCCTCACCAGCTCCCTCTGCGCAGGCGCAATCGCTCCGCCCGCTTCCTGCACGAGGACACAGCTAGCGCGCTGATTGGCGAGAAAGCGGGGAGGGCGGGAGCACGCCGGGAAGAAGCGCCTGGCCCGCGAGGGACCCGATTGGCGAAGAGGCGCGCCGTGAGGCACGCTGGGAATTGAAGTCCCTGGTGGCGAGGGGGATGCTGGGACTTGACGTCCAGGTCTCGGTCCTCGCTACGCCGTGAAGTGCTCGGGGCACTCGGCTTCCCAGAAGGCTCAGCGGCGGTCGCGCATGCCCAGTGGTCCCTCGCCGCCCCTGAGGCCTTGGCCTGGGGTAGGTACCGGCCTGCTCCCCTCCCGGCTGAAGGACGGGGCGAAAATGGGGCCTGGGTGCAATGAATTACCCTTTCTTTTTCCTGCAGGACCAGCGCTAGCTGTCCAAGCTCCAGGTTTGCTTCCAGAGCCAGTAAGCCATGCCAGAGAAAGCAGTGAGGCGCCCAGCCTCTGGGACAGCATCCTGTGGATGGCGGCGCCGAAGAAAAGGCGCACCATTGAAGTGAACCGCTGCAGGCGAAGAAATCCCAATAAGCTGATAAAAGTAAAGGTAATTGCCAGACTGCCGGGGGGTTGGCACCTTGGTCACTGCAAGTAATTTTGTCAGTGGCAAACGGGCGTGCTGGAGTTAAGCTTTACAGCAATCATTTTTCATCTTCCTTATTTTAGAGAATCATTATAGCAGTCGATGCTGACTGAAAAAGCCTCCTGGAATGTGTTTATAAATAAGCTTAAAAGACATTGTAATCTTCAAAATACTTTGTAACAGGTACATTCACCATGTGTGACCGTGGTCTGTGGTTAAATAAAAAGTGATAGTTTAGGTGCAAGCCTAAAAGTGAATTTTAGCTAAAGAGCTATCATAAATGGAAAAGGTCTATACTTGCCGTGCATCGAGCTGAGCTGACAGGTCTTTAGTCTTCCAAACATCAGTAGCCATAATTTAGGTATTGACTTCCCAGGCTATGTTCTGTGGTACGCATTTGATGTAGCAATACATTGCAGAATACAAAGAAGAATAAATTTTGAAAAGTCAGTTGAATTTCTCTGGTATTTCGTTGAAACTTTTTAGTAGTTTGTGATAGTTCTCTCTTTCTTTTGTTGTTGTTCAAATTACAAAATTTGCTATTTTCCACTGTTTTTTAGAGGAACATAGACGTTTGCCCCGAGTGTGGAAACTTGAAACAGAAGCATGTCCTTTGTGGCTATTGTTATGCAAAGGTCAAAGCAGAAACTCGACTGATACGGATGGAAATACGGAAAAAGGAAGGAGGACCATTTAATACTCCTACTGTAGAGACCGTTGTCCTTTATGATGGAGAAAAGCCCACGGAAAAAGATGAAGGCAAGCGGATCATTGAAAGAGCCAGGAAGCGTCCATCTTGGTTTGTTCAGAATTGATGCTATAGAACTAATGCTAACAAAAACAGTGGGTGCAGCAAGAAAGATCTTGCTTTTCTGGAATGTTTTCCTCGTTTTGTTCACTCACTGTTGATATGGAAAACCTATGAACTTTTGGGAATCCTGCTGGAATCATGTGTCATGCCATATGGTGTTGCAGTCAGGCTTTGTTTCTGTAGCATGCAGTGGGAAACGCTTCTCAGCGATACATCAGAGCAGTCAACAATTAAAGAGAAATCAGGATCTATCCTGGGTTTGGACATCTGCGTACAGTACACTGAATAATTTGTATGTTAATGTTCTGTGCTGGTTTTGTAAATAACTTTTTTTTTAACAAAGTGAAAAAATTCACAGATGTAAAATAAAGTATGCTAAGTTTTCTGGGGAAATCTGCTTTCTGTTTTTGGCTGCTGCTCTTTTGGAAAAAAGAAAACAAACAACCAACCCGCACTTTCAAAACCAGTGTTGATTAGGTACAAAGGATATTTACAAGGAAAGATACGGTTAGCAGGTGGTTTCCGTGGCTGTTAACAGAATCTGCCTGGTTCGCTCCACAGTGCTGCTGTTTGAGATGCTCGGTGATATACCTGTTTTTGAGCTAACTAGTGGTTGCCATGAATTATTTGCACTTTTTCTGTGCCAGGCTGAAGGTTAAGTGTTTCTTGCTGTTGTCAGTATACAAAATAGTTTTCTGTCTTGAAGGGATATGGAAAGACTTTTCTGTGTTCCTTCCCACCCCCAGCCCCCCTGCTCCAAGTGCACCGTGATTTCTGGAGTGAAATAACTAATTTAAATGTAATGACTGGAAATCTGTAAATTTGATAGGGATCAAAAGCTGATTCTTTGCAGCCAGTGTTTGTAAGTTGTCTGGGTGGTCAGTGTCTGCTTGGAAAACCACAAAGAACAGCTGGGATGTCTTGGGTTTTGTGCAGAGTGGGCAGCTCTGCCCTCTGCTGTGCATTGGTACTCTTCAATGCAGCAGGTACAGCACCTTGCTGTGGATTTTCACTTCGGTTTTAGCCACACCGTAGCACCATTGCATTTAAGATTAAGACTGTTCTCCGTTTTAGGTTGGGATTTCTGTAGACAAATGGTACTGTTTGATATTACGGCTCAGCCAATCTAATAGCTATTTGCTGCCAAAAAATGCAACTCTGCCCCTAACTGGCTAAGTTGCCCCTAAGTTGTTTGCTTGGCACTGGAGTGTATCTGCTCCTGTGCTGTCCTGGTTCGGGGAGCTACGCTGAGAGAGAACTGTTCCCTGGCTTTCTACAGCTTGGTTTTTAGTGGGTGTCTCCCTGTAGATTGGCTCATGTCAGGGTCAGAAAAGTGGCGACGTGGGCAGTAGGAGTATGGAAGTGGTGGAAACAGGACCAGGCTTTCCAGAATAGCTTTCATTTGTACGTGTCTGAGCCAATTATGCCTGCTTAAGAAGTGGACTTGTGTGTGCTGTAACGCTTCACTTCTGATTTCCTCGCTCTGGATTCTGTGTTCTGAAACATAGCTGGTAGGAACAGATGTTAGCGGAGATGTAACATTTCCTCCATATTCTAAGGGAATAATGATAAGTGTAAATTGATGCCGTGTAGTTGACAGTATCCAAGCAAACAACATAAGTTCTTTTTGATTTGTCCAAACAGTATTTATTCCAGTTCTGTCTTGTTTTTTCACTTATTCAGAACTGGAGCCAATAAAAGGTGGCAAGCAGGAGGCAGAGTGGAAGGCTTACTTTTGCCAAAGCTGCATGGGACAAGACTGACATACTGGAGGTGAGATTAGCCAACCAAGAAGACAGATATATTGTCCTGAGGGAAAGATCTGTACATGTTTTAGGGAGAGGTGGGGTTTTTTGTTTCTTTGTCCACATACAGGACTAATCGCACCTCACTGTCTTAATTGATTTTTATATATTTATATTTTTGACAAAGGTTCTGTAGAGAAATAAGTGAAATTAGACTGGGATGTTGAGAATCATGGGTTAATTTCTCAGAAACACAGAGGTATTATTAAAAAAAAATTCTGTAAACAAGAGAGGACGTGGTTTCTGCTAATGCAGTAGTATTTATAACTGGCAATATATTGCATTAGTTTGTTGAATCACACTATCAGTGAAGCAATGAAGATGCTTTACAAAAAGAGTTCTTGGGAAACATCTTTGAAGGTAGGCTGTGTCAACACAAGACGTTTTGAGATACTTGCAAGGTCACGGTCAGGTGATGATTCACTTCACAGCCATACTGCTCGTGTTAGTACTGCATTTGTGCAATCCAGACAAGAGCAGATGCTTGATAATATTTTGTAGTGGTTTCTGAGTAATGTGGGGGGAAAAGTCATTAAAATGTCGGGTATTCGTGGCCTCTGAAAGAAAAAAATAGAAACAACTGACCAATATTGAAGATTCATATAGGCAGTTGGATACAGTACCAGTAATTATCTGAGAAAGAAATTGTCTTCAGTGAGAGCCAGACCAGTTTAGTTTGAATGACTTTCCTTCAAAAGAAGAGTGAAGGAAATCTCACTCTCATAGGTTTGTTTTATCAACACTGACAATACGAAGCTCTGTTACTTTTAAAAAAATAAAAATAATCCCAGAATTCCTTTGAAACACATAGTATAGTCTGTTACTTGAAACTAACCCCTTTTTCATGTAGTTTTGAAAGAAATATAAATTGCAATAGTGCTAATATATAAACATACACTTTTTGACACAATATAAATTAAAACTAACAAAAAGCAAGCTGCTTGTTACAAAAGTTGTACTCCAGAATCCATTTAGAAAGAAGTATTACATGCCTCAGAGGAATTTCACTTTGATACGCTGGGAACCTGCCAATAGTTGAAAGAGATGTTTTTTTGTCTGCAAATTTTGTATGATTAAATACATGTTATATTTGATTATGGTTTTCTTCTATAAGGGTTTTATGTTAAAATTATTTTAAATTTTAGGAAGAACCTAGAAGATAATGTAGTGTCCTAAAATACCAGGATGCTAATTGCTAAACTATTTTGTACCATACTAAGGTCTGCAGAGATAGCGGTGATCTCTGGCGGTGGTCAGTTACGATATCCGTAGAGGCTGGGAAACAAAGTTTCTCGTTAATCTCCCATTTAGCGAGGAAATTTTAAGAAAAGGTCTCTGCACAGTCCTCCTCTATTCTGTGGAACACAGTACGCCAGCAAGAGCTGGCAGTGGATGTAAAATATACTTCTTTAGGGCACTAGGTGGCAGAGGAATGTAGCTTTCGGGTAGGTGCAAAACAAAAGCCAACGCTCACTAGCAAGATAGGACACAGTGTCAGATTTGAGAAATTTGCACCTGTGTAAGCAAAAGATACGCAAAAAAGACTAGATTTGCAAAGTACGAAGAAAAATACAATAGTTGTTATGAGACATAATTTAATCTATTGTAATTCATTGGTCTGACTGAAATTAATTAGATCTATACTAAGAACTAATGCACTGGATTTTGTGTATATTTATGCCTCTGCTGTTTGCTGGGTGGATTATTTGAAATTGCTATTGTACCTATCACCTTCCCCTAACAAGACAGTGGAGCTCTCTTTGCGCCTCTTGGTCACAGATGGCTTTCTAATTTCCGTTGTTTCGCATGCCTGGTATATTCAGCTAGTTGACATTTTATTTACGCAACTAGAAAGTCGTGCAAATAATAGGTCTGGAAGCATTCCAATGAATTTCAAGGTATAATTGCCTTGAATTTGTAGAGCCATAAGGATCAGTTTGTAAACAGCAGCCATGAAGTGGAAAGAAAAGTAAACCAATGTGGTGTTAAAGTGACTAATAGTTGCTCAGAAGAGAACAGAAGATTGTGTGCTCCATCAAAGTTTTAAAATGTTTTGGAAGCGCACGAGTGATGATAGTGCCTGTATCTTTGCAACTTACTTGTTAATTAGTATTTAAGTAAGATATTAGCAGAAATCCTTCTTTCACCCCATGTCACTTCATTGTGTAATTTATACAGTGAATGAGGATTAGTAAATACAAGTTGTTTCCAAGTAATTTGCCTAACTCTTAACCTGACAGGTCTTTAAGAATGGGGCCAAATGTGAGAAAAATCAGTGAAAGGGATGAGAAGGAAGTAGGCTATGCAACAGTGATGGATCTAGTTTTGCCTACTCTATGTATATTCCTGGGAAATTCTGTTGAAGTCAGTGGAGTGTAATTCAAGGCAGAGTTTGGTCCAACATACTGAAACCCTGGACATATGAATGTATGCAAGTATATATATTTTTAATGCAGAGCATATACCTGTGAAACTACTGCTGAGTACCAACGCAATTGTGTTTACAGCTGAAAACTTAAGATTGCATTTGGTGAATGTAGTAAACTGAGTCTAATCGGTCGATGTTCAGCTTTTGATCACAAAAATGATCGGAGGGCTTGAACACCTCTCCTGTGAGGACAGGCTGAGAGACTTGGGGCTGTTCAGCCTGGAGAAGAAAAGGCTGTGGGGAGACCTTCCTGGGGCCTTTCAGTACTTAAAGGGGGCTTGTAAGAAAGATGGAGACAAACATTTTAGTAGGGCCGGTTGTGATAGGAAAAGAGGTAATGGTTTTAAACTAAAAGAGGGTAGATTTAGACTGGATATAGAGAAAAAATGTTTTACAACGAGGGTGGTGAAACCCTGGAACAGGTTGCCCAGAGAGGCAGTAGATGTCCTGTCCCTGGAAACATTCAAGGCCAGGCTGGATGGGGCCCTGAGCAACCTGGTCTAGTGGAAGATGTCCCTGCTTATTGCAGGGGGGTTGGACTAGATGAGCTTTAAAGGTCCCTTCCAACCCAAAGCATTCTGTGATTCTGTGTTTGAAAGAAATTCGAGTATCCTATCTTTCAGTTTCACCTGGCTGAGGACAATATGCATATTTAGAAGAAAAGGCATAGGTTTCATTTCGCATTGAACATTCTGGTTAAACGTATGAAAAGCAAAACTGAAATGGCTCCAGAGCAAAAGACCCAAAAGAAAAGCTTTTGTGGAGTTGCGC